CTCATCTTAGCACCATCAGTCAATGGACTGCACACTAAAAATGTTCTCAACATCAAGGGTCTTAAATGAGGCCTGGGCAATATGGTTTAAAAAAAGTATTGTTAAGATACACAATAAAAAAGATCTAAAAAATAGAGTGAAAAATCTAAAGAAAACCAACTGTAAAAGAGACTTTTTTCTTGATCAAACAAGTCATAATTTAATATACACATATTAGTGAAAAGTGTAAGTCATTATCCAGATAATAGTGCATTATATTCATTTAAAAATATTTTATCTATTATTTTTATTTATTGTTTTTATTTCACGTGTATGGGTGTATTGTTTGCTTGTATGTGAGTGCACCTCTGTCGTGCAATGCCATGGAAGAGGTCTTTGGATTCCCCTGGAACTGGAGTTAAGGACGGAAGCTCATGGAAGTGGGGGGGGGGGATTCAGTGCTCAGTAAGGTTTGTGTCTGTGTTTTTGCTCTGATAGTAAGCTTCCTTGTCAAGACAATGAAAGAAATAGTTTTTTCTTCTATAACTCGTAGCGTTATCCCTGAAAAGAGTCTTCACTTGCTTCCAGGAGTCTACATGTTTGCTGTGTCAGAAGTTTTATTGATTTAGTATGAGCTGAGTTTTTATCTTCCCTCACAGAAATGGTTTACAGACTATTGTGTTACATATTGCTGAGGTCCCTGTTGCCTTGTAAACATTTAAAGAGAGCCATGAACTATAACAAAAAAGTTATTGCAATGTCTGCATTGCAATATTTCTTATTAATTAGTGACCATTTTCATTGATAACTTACTAGATTTGTTCGAAGAGAGAGAGAATATATGTAATTTTTTAGATGGATCCAATGTTCCTAGAGTAAGAAACCAAAACTCCTATATGAAGTCGATCCACTATTCTTAGTTTGTCTGAAGATGCTAAAATTATCCAACAGTTGACTTAAAAGACACAGGCAGCGGCTGGAGATATCTGGGGCTGTCACATTCAGGGCAGATTTTCTCAGTGCCCACTCAGGCCATCTAGATGCTAGAGACCAGGCCACCTACAATCTACAATGCACAACTCATCCTCCATCACCACCCCAACAAAGAACTTTTTGGCATAAAATGTCAATTGTGATCCTGTTGAACAGACTGCACACCATAAATAATGAATGAAACCAGTATTGCTAAAATCATTTGCTCATAATCAATGTCATGTTTCCATTTATTGAGCCCTCATGATAAATTATTCCTACCTTCTACTACAAATACTCCAAACATGCACGGTGTATCTAAGTCAGAACATTCTTTCCTGGTTGTAGTATGAGGAAGGATGGACCCAATCTAAAGGCAAATGCTTTGTCTTTTATTGCATGCATTCAAAGAGAAGTTTTGAGGAAAAACATTTTTTTCTCCGACTTATAGGAAGAGCTCCAGCTCAAGACAGAAATTTTAACCTGAACTCTAATTTTTTTGATTTGAAATAGAAGTGTATAGAGCTCAATTAATCCAAAGCAAGAAAAGTTACATTAGCATCAGCAATGGGCAAGTTACCATCTCTTGAAGAGACACTTTGGAGATGGTGCAATGCTTATAGAAATGACCTCCCTTGCAGGGTTTCTACGCCACATGAGGACTGGGGTTAGAGAGCTTGGCTTAGTCTGAAAGTCTTAAGCAGTTATATCAGTGCATGAGAACACTTACTCTAGGTTTTTAAACACAGCCTTTCCTTGAAATGAATTATTGTTTTAGTCAATAAAATATTATTTGGTATAATGAATAACTGCTAAGTTTCAATAGCCTTAGTATCTTGCTATCAGAAAGTGTTTTGTAGATGTTCAGTTTTCGCCTTTACATTTGGTGCCTCTCAGCTACTTCCCTAGAGGACACCTACATTCCTTCTCCCATGACCCCACCATCTTCAGAGACAGACAGAGAGCATCATCCTCCTGCTCTGAATCTCTGTGACGTCCTCATTTTCCTTCTGTTCAGAGAAAACTCTGGTGCCAGGTGATCAGATTAGGTAGTCTGTCTGTACCCAACCCAATCCAACCCAGATCATCTTCCTATAACAATACCAAGTGTCTTATGCAACCTAACAGCTATGGACCAGTATCATACCATACTCACGGGCTCCAGAGATTAGAAGACGAGATACCTTTCTGGGCCATTTTATTTAAATTATTTAATATTTTACTTTTTATTGTTTGACAGTTTCATACATTTACATAATGAATTTTAGTAGTTTTCATCCCATGTCCCCTCCTATATCCCTCCTCTCCCTCTATTACTGAAACCCTTCTTTCCAAGACCCCTCCTACATTCATGCCTTTTCTGTGTGTGTGTGATCCAGTTAAAGTTTCTTGCCCAGGTGTGGGTGTGAGTTTATTTGCTGCAACAAAGACAGCTTATCAGTGGCTCCAACACTGGAGAAAATGACACCCCTCCCCTAAGAGCCGTTAACTGCCAACAGTCCCTCAGGGAGTCATGGGCCATCTTAGAAATCTGTACTCCATAGTGCCAAATATAAATAAGAATAATTGACTGTTGTGTTGTTAGGAGTACCATCTAAAATAATCATTTATGCATGGAATCTGCCACATAATGTGAATTCTTAGCAATCTAAATGATAATAATGTTGCCATTTTCTTACCATCATGAAATCATCATAGTTATAAAGTTCTATGTGGCCCAAGTTTGTTGTCTCAGTTTCTTTATAGGACTACTAGACATAAATCTCCTTGAAGCATTCTCAGATTGTTAGCATTGCTTCTCTTTACTTCTTAGCCTAGAGCTAACACTGTCTGAATGTTAAAATGGTGTGCACCTTTCTTGGTTGGTTCCCATAATGTAGCATATCAACACATTCTCATTACAGAATATTCTGGTTAAGTTTTATTGTCAACTTGACACAAAATAGAATCACCTGGAAAAAGGGAATCTGTGTTGAAGAATTGCCTCCATCGTCAGATTGACCTGTGGGCATGTCTGTGGGGTATTTCCTTCACTGCTAATTGATGTAGAGGGCTCAGCCCACTGTGGGCAGTGTCATCCCTAGGTAGGTGGACCTGGGTTGTATAAAATAGATAGCTAACCATGAGCCAGTGAGTGAGTCAGTGAGTGAGCCATCAAGCAACCTTCCTCCATGGTCTCTGCTTCAGTTCCTGCGTACAGGTTCCTGCCTTGAGTTCCTGCCCTGATTTCCCCTGGTGATAGAAGCCTAAGCTGAAATGAACCCTCTCCTCTTTAAGTTGCTTTTGATTGTGGTGTTTATTCCAGCAACAGAAAGCGAAGTAGGGCAGTGTGTTTCACTAGGAGGCTTCCGGAGACTAGAATGCTCTTAGTGCAAGCCAGCAGTCTCAGAAAGTCATGCTTTATTTAGGGAAGGTTATATAGAATGATAGTTGCTCAGGTTGGGCATTTGGTTTATTGAAAGAAACACTTACCTAATATTAACAGAAGTGAGGTGTTTTCTCCAGGGTATATGCTCAAAGGACTGCAAGGCCTACACAGAGATATCTGCACATCCATATTTATGCTTTACTAGTCCCATTAGCTAAGAAATGGAACTAGCTTACATGTCCACCCACAGATTAATGGATACATACCCACACTGGAGGTTTATTCAGCTGTAAAGAAAAATGGAAGCACGATGTTTACAGGAAAATAGATGGAGCTGAAAACTAGTGTTATTTGAGGTACCCAAGACTCAGACGCATTCTGCACATTTTGCTCATGTGCAGATACCAGATTGTAACTTTATATATGTGCATACATACATGTACATATGGGAGGAATATAGATCATGAGAGGACCATGAGAGGGAGAGAAGAAGTCATAATGGTGGACTGGGAAAGGACAGCAAGGAGATGAGGAGGGAGGTGGCGGAGGAGCAACGAAAACAAAGTGTATGAAAACGTCATAATGAAACCCATTACTTGGCCAATTTTTTAACTAAGAAAAATATAAGTACTTTTGTTTCTATATATGATTACATTTTATTTATTTGATTATTTACTTTGCATGTATGTGTGCATATGTGTCAGCACACGCATGACACCTCACATGTGTGTGGAGGTCAGAGGACAACTTGAAGGAGTTAGTTCTCTCCTTCCACTATGTGGGTTCCAGGAATCAAACTCTGGTCATCAGGCTTCGTGACTGGTACCTTTACCTGCTGAACCTTCTTGGTGACCCCAAGTAAAGTATTTTTAATGTATTCACTTGTATCAGTTCATTTGTCATTCATAAAGCCAAGTCAGTAAGTAGGGCTCGTATTAATGTTTCTGTTTAAAAATAAAAGTTTGAAGGAGCTGGAGATATGGCTCAATGGTTAAGAGCACATATCACTCTTCTAGAGGGCCAAGTCAGATAATTCACAGCTGACTGTAACTCCAGCTCCTGGGGGAATTGAACACCTCTGGCCTCCATGGGCATCTGTACTCATGTGCACATACCCATACATAGAGACACTCATATATACATAATTTAAAAGAAAAACAAACCTATAAAACATAAAATAAAATAAAACGAAAGTTTAGAAGTTTTCCTCAAAGTCTCATGTGAGCATTCCTGTAAGTTGAAGGCAGTATGCTATTTCCATAAAGTAGGAAGACGAAACACTAGCATCAAAGTAAATGTTTTTCACATACTGTCTTTAAATGCTTGGTTTAGCTACTAACAATAATAGTGGTAACAACAAAAATTTATGTAGATAAGAGTGTTCAGGGTAATCGTGCTGATTCTAAGGAATCAGAATCAGTGGTCACGACATACACAGACTGAGTAAATTAAAACCTACAGTGTTTTAATCTTTTTGCCTAAGAGACACCATTGCAATTTTTTTTTAAATCAAAAATTTAGGGGGTAGGCAGATGGCTCAGTGGTTAAGAGCACTGGCTGTTCTTGCAGAAGACCTGGGTTCGAATCCCAGCACACACATGGCAGCTAACAACTGTCCTAACTCTAGTTCCAGGGGATCCGACAGCCTCTTCTGTCCTCTGCGGGCATTGCACAACATGGGTGCAATTACCTCCATGCAGGCAATACACGCATACACGTAAAATAAAAACAAAATAAAATATTTTTAAAATCACAAATTTAGAAATGTGTTTCAGATTTATAAGTAAATATGTGTTTCAAATGTTCATCTACTCCAACATTTAATTATCATAAGTATTTACCTTCACAAGTTTAAGATTTCTTTTGTAGTACAAATCCTTTAATCTATAATCTAAAGTCTGCAAAGCATTAGAAAAGGAGAATCACCGAATGGAGAACAGGTTAGAATGAGTTACAGAAAGTGAACATGTTGTTGGGAAATCAAGAGATTCCCTTCTCCCTGAAATCAGTACTGTTTACATTTATATCTTTCCTAATGAAGAATGAAAGAAAATAGTCAATGCTTTAGAATTCAGGGTAAGGAAATCAGTCTTGGCAGTGTGCTCAGAAACATAAACAATACTATTATAACTGCTTTTTAAACTCCATCTTGTGTAAAACTTGATTTGGCTCAAGGTACTCTGGCTGCATGGCCTGGCCTGCTCCTACTTTACCCACTACCCCCACCCGCATAAGAAATATTAAGAAAAATATGACACCAGTTTCAAAAGTACTTTGTGCCATATCCGAGATAGCAAAGATATATTCGTGCTTTTAAATATTGTCTCTAGAAGAGTCATGAACTTGAAGAGAAATATATTTGGAACTTTAAAGTTCTTCCTGTGGGAGGAGCTTCCACTTTACTGAAGGATCAAGTTCCTCTTGAATATCATCCATCTCCTGTTCCTTGGAGAGCTCCAGGAAGACCTGGAAAGAAAGAATCAATTAATCAGTCAATCAATCAGTCAGTCAATCAATCAATCAATCAATCAATCAATCAATCAATCGAGAGGCACATCACACTGCCTTCTATAGCTGCAAATGAATGGAAAAGTAATATGCACATTATAAATTTACTTTCTCTTTTGCAGTTATAAGTGTGCATGGTGTGTGTTCATGTGTGTATGAGTGTTCGCATGTGTCAGTGCACCTGTGTGCAAGTCCAAAATTTACATAAAATATTTTCCTCGATTGCTCTCCATTTTATTTTTTGGGTCAGGGTCTTCTCTACTGAACACAGAGAGCTAGTCCAGCCACCTCACCGAGTAGAGATCCGGTCTTGGCCTCCCCAGTGTTATGATTATAAGCAGCAGTCCCTGCCTGCTTGGCTTTTGTGTGGCTTCTAGGAATTCAGACTCTGGTCCACACTTGAGTGGCAATAACTTTAGCCACTGAGCCATCTCCCCAGCCCTAAGCTTATTTTCTACGGGTGATAGAAAAATCACTAAAAATTACTCACCTGCTCCAGCGTGGACTGTGAGAGGCTATATTCCTCCAAGTCAAAGTTCTCTTTAACTGCATAAAAATGAATGTCCATTAGAAGTCCATACTTTTTTATTCAAGGAATTTTACCAAGTCATGTACAAAAAGGACATGGAAATAATAAAAATATAAGGTAGTAAATGTTTTGAGCTAAATACTGAAAAGTAGATGCACCAAGTAGCCATATAAGAATATGTAAATACTGGCATGGTTCTTTAGAGTTTGGGAAGATGGACTACAAGATTGGAAAACAGTATTAGAAAGTTCCAGAATAATTCAAATAAAGCTAAAACATGGTTTTCTCTGTGCTGGAAGGCTCCCAAATGCCTCTTACATCTGTCCTTGGTCTTCTCTATCCCTAAGGTCTGGCCTCAAGAGATATGTCCCTGGTGATGCTCAGCAAAGGGACAGAAGAACGAGGGGGTCGTGACATTTATTTTCTCCCTCCCTTCCCTGACACTGAGTGAGTCCCTTGACTGATGGTCACTGTCTCTCTCAAGGTGGAAAATTCTACACAGCTCCGCCCCCAGGTTCACATCACTGCCTCACTCTGCTCTTTTGGACCTAACGATGATGGTAACCATGTACTTATTTGTAGTCTCAAGATAATGTATATGGCTGGAGAGATGGCTCAGCAGTTAAGAGCACTGACTGTTCTTGCAGAGGACCTGGGTTTGGTTCCCAGTATGCACATAATGGCTAACAACATCTATAATCCAGTTTTAAGGGATCTTACCCTGTTTCCTGGCCTCTGTGGATATTGCATGCATGGCTGCTTGCATACACGCAATGAAAACACTCATACACATATAATAAAAATAAATACATATGTCTAAATATATTTTATTGAAGTTTTATTTAATTTATTTTTAATTGAACTTTTGTGTATTTCTTACAGAACATCTCAAACAATCTTAATCCTCTTTATACCCCCTTCCCCATTGGCATCCTCCCATAGCCTCCCCAACTGGATTTGATGCATTCTGTCATTTATATTAAGGTCTATCATATCAAGTTAGTGTCCCCTGACATCCTTCAATGCAAGTTCATCCACTGGAGTCTAGTCAACCTATCTAGAATCACTCCCTTAAGGAAGATCAGCTCTTCCTCACCCAGCAGTAATCAGCTGCCCAATAGTTCTTTGGCTAAGATTGGGTCCAGCTGCCCATTTTCACAGTTCTATGCTAGGTTTTTGTCTGATTGAGTTTACATGGGTCTTGTACATGCTGACACTACTGCTGTAGGTTCATATGAGCAAGATCCCAGGAGCCTGTAAGATCTATTTCCATATGGCCAAGCACTTCCTCCCCGGCTCTTAAAATCTTTCTGTTCTCTCTTCCGCAATGGTCCTTGAACCCTGGGTTCATTGCGTTCTGTTGCACGGAGGAGCTTCCTTGATAATGTGTGTTACTACACAGGAATTCCTGAGGTGATACAAGAGTTTTAACGATCAAAACAATCTTGCTGCCGTATCACCTCTCATTTCCCTTTCACTCTACCTTAGTGAGGCTCAGAACATCAGCTTATGAGCCAACAAGGGAAGAGAGGAACAAAGCAAGATTAGAAACAACCATGAATCTTCATGGATGCAGATCTCCAATCGCAGGCAGATCCAACCTGTGAGAGGCAAGCTACACAAAAGCTATGCGGAGGTTCGCATTACCCACACAGTATCTGAAGGTGTAAAAGAATGAATCCATTCGAATGGTCATGCAGATTAATTTATCTTGAAAATTATTGGGCCTAGCTCATTGAACAAACATACTGAAGCCAAGACCATAATAGTATCTAATGACATTTGAAGAAAAAGTGCTGATTATATTTCCGCATTTGGCATTTTGTGTCATCTTCCCCTAGTGGGGAGGAACTGGCGCAAAAACAATTGTTCGCTTCCAAAAAAATCCAAGAACTTGTGTCTTAGCAAATTAAACACAACAGAAGGAATATGCGGTAGGAAAGGGTATTGCTGAAAGCTGAGACACTAGGAGGCTTTTAAAGAAAGGCTTTATAGTACTCCAGGGAGGCATCTTTCCTGGAACATCAACCCCTTTAGTAGTAATACATTGCAAAATGCTTCCTGTTTATCATAGCCATCACACATTGATGGGAATGATGCAAACCTGGCTTTGAGGCCAAAATTACCAGCATGGAAAATAGAACATAAGGTGGATAGTAAGGCAAGAAAAGAAAGCCTATGTGGATGACCCTAGCCATGTGTCAAGGAGAAGATGCTATAAGCTGGGAGGTGTGTCTTCAAAGGAAGGCAGGTGGCAAGATAGAAACCACAGCTCAAGGAGAAGCATGGGGACTGTTATGGTGTGACTCTGGAATGTCCTTCGCAGGCTATCCAAACAGTGCCCAGTTTGGGACACTATCCTGAAAGCTATAGAGCCTGTAAGAGGTGAGACCTGGCTGGTGGAAGTAGACACTACCAGCAAGCCTTTGAAGAGTATCCCTTTCCTGGTTCTGTCCTGCTTGTTCTGCTTCTTGTCTGCCACAATGATGTGAGCAGCCCCAGTTACTGTTCTCAACTGCCTCAGACACTTACCCCACCATGTTTCTCCGGCTATGATGGACTTCAGTCTTCTGAAGCCATGAGCCAAAATAAGCCTTTCCACCCTAAGTGGTTTCTGGTAGGTATTTGGTCGCAACACAAAGGTAATATGGAAGTTGGTACCAGGGGAAATAGGTTCATTTCTGTGACTAAGCATGACCATTAGGTTCTCAGACCTTTGAAATGGGTTTATGGTAGGAATATGGAGGAGTCTGAAAAGACAGAGAGGGAAGCCCTAAAATGCTACAAGGAGAGCTTAGGAGACATTCTAGAAAACAAAAAACAAAAACAAAAAACAGAATGTCAATAGAAATGTAACCAGTAAACACTGTGCTCTTGAGGCCTCAGAAGGGAACGAGCACTCTATTGAGAAGTGACCTAGTGGAAATCTGTGTTACTTCTGGAAAAGAAGTTTTCTACAGTTCACTTGTCTCCTGGGAATTTGAGTGAGGTTAAACTCAACACCAAAGGGCTGATTTATCGGGTGGAGGAAATTTCAAGACAAAATAGCATTCGGGATATAGTATGGCTGTTGTTTGCTGATTTTATTCAGGTTTACAAGGAAAAGCAAGAGCAAAAAGTGCAGTGAAACACCTGAGAGCAATATATGGTTTCCAGGGGTACATTCAAACCTGATGCCCAAAAAGTAGACGCAGAGACAGTGGCTATAAGGGTTAAAGAAGTCAGTGCTGTCAGATGGCACAGTTAACACTAGGAAAACAGGAAAGTTGTCTCAAGGTCCAGACTTCTCCCACAAGGAGCTGCAGGGTGTGAAAATGCAAACTCATTGGAAAGACTTTCATTTGAAAAGGGATTGCTAGAGCACTCTGCCCTGGAGGGAAGGTTCTGATCTCAGCTGCCCAGGCACTCAGGGCCTGCTGCAGCCTTTAAGAGGGGGTCTGCTTACTTCTGAAACTGGCAGCGGGATGTCGCATCATTCATGGGGTGCTGATTTTGCAAACAAACAGAATGGATGTTATGGATTAATGGATGCTCTCACCAAGGTTCCGGGGGAAAGCTTAGGGGAGCGGGCAAGGTACGGTAGAACCAGATTCCTGAGTAGGCTGTTCATGAAGTTTTGAAGGTGAAGCGTAAGTTGCAATAAGGCTCCAGATGTTGGAGATGCCGGGGATGAAGACTGTCTACTCTGGAAAGTGCAAGGACTGAGTGGAGCCTGCTATGAATGGCAGGCTCAGAGCGATGGGCTACAAAATTCTGATGTCAGTTACCTCATGCTAAATATGCCCTGGATGTCTGACCTGAAGACACAGGATTTAATGCTTTTCCTATGTATTTGGTCTTTTTGGTCCAATATTTCTTTGTTATCTTTCTGTCCCTCTCTTTTAAATGGAAATATTTTCTCTGAGCCATTGTTCGTTGGACATGTGTAGCTTTCTCTGCAAGGACCCACAATGAAGTGCTTCCCTTGCATCTCATGAAAGACTTTAGACTTTTAAACAGTATTGGGACTGATAAGAGTACCGGACTTTGAATTTAGACTGAGTGCACCTTACAGTATTTGATGGACATGACCAAATCGCTGCTTGTTGAGAACCACTGGATTAGATTCTAAGCAATTTATTTATTATGTAATATGGAAATTCTATGTTTATGTATTTTTAATAGAGGTTTGAATGCTTTCTATTTCTCAGAGTATTGTTTTTAAACAGTCACTTACGTCTCTCCAGTTTGAAGAAAGCCTGTGATAAAGGGCGTACATCCTCGACAGGCAATTTATAGACCATCAGAGAGGAGTATCTGTGAAGAGAAGAGGAGGCTGAACAAGAGGTTTCAAGGTCTCAACCTCTGAAGGGCGTGAGCCTAAACAGGAACAACAATCTTGTCAACAGGATATTTAAATGTGTGCATCCTTACGGCTTGGAGGTAACTGTGGTCTAAGTGCTCTTTGATCAACAAGAGTACTACGAGGAAGATTAGGGCACACGTAAAGGAATCAATAATGCTTTTCCTTTTTAGGAAAAAGTAGGTTATTTAAGTAAAAACTGTCAGTTATGTGGTTATCCACCTGAGCCTCAAGCACCAACTGTTATTAAAAAATAATTTAAAAAAATCTCAGTTACCATTCATGGGACTGAATTAGCCCAACACTAGGCAAGCCATCCAGGCCACCTTTACAAACACAGAGAGGGGCGCCCTCCTGACCACCCATCACATGGCAGAGGCAGAGGCTATGTGTGACCTGTAGCCATCATGGTGTCTGGGAGGCTGAAGTGGGTTTGATGGATGCCTGGTACCCATATGAACTTTCCACGAGAGATCTCCTTCAAGAGGAATGGTTTTAGCCTCTAGTAACGGCCATTGAGATCACATAGGGCAAGCATACATCAGTACCCTCAGCTCCTGGAACATTAGAAGGCTGTGCAAATGAGAATTCCCTTACAAGAGTCAGCCTCTAACGGAGCAATCTGTTGCTGCAGTCATTTACTGTGGTAGACACTGAGACAGAGACTTTCTCTTAGTAAATAAGGTACTCACAATTGAAGAGTTTAAAATAATAAGATAAAATAAAATTCTTGTTTCTCATCATTTAAAAATAAAAACACGGGGCTGGAGAAATGGCTCAGCAGTTAAGAACATTGGCTGTACTTGCAGAAGACCTGGGTTCGAATCCCAGCACCCACATGGCAACTAACAACTGTCCATAACTCCAATTCCAGGAGATCCAACAGCCTCTTCTGTCCGCTGTGGGGATTGCATGACATGGGTGCACTTACCTACATGCAAACAATACATGCATACACATAAAATAAAAATAATAAAATATCTTTTAAAAACACTATCAAAATGAAGATGACAATATACCTATACTAACCTTTCTTGCCGAGCAGCCTGGGGGAAAATCTTCAGGATCTCTGCGTGCAGGGGCTCCGCCTGTGCAATGGCATTTACCTTCATCTCCAGCAGGTAATCTTTGCCGAATTTGCTTTTCAGATGTTGGATAGAACCAATACACCTGGACGAGAAAGTCGAGCAAGGCAAGGGAGCAATTCAGCATCTGGAGGCCAGAGGCAGGGTCAGACAAGGCCAGGCAGGGCCAGGCACAGGCTCCAGCTCGTCCGAGCAGCCAATGGCCCTGTATCACAGCAGACAACCTGTGGAGGCCTGGATGGCACTCACCTCAGCCTCCCAGACACCATGATGGCCACGCGGTCACACACAGCTTCTGCCTCTGCCATGTAATGGGTGGTCAGGAGGGCGCCCCTCTCTGTGTTTGTGAAGGTGGCCTGGATGGCTCGCCTAGAGTTGGGTTAAGGAGAAAAGCCAACTTCAGGGAATCTCATGGTCTCGTGGAAAATTTTTAAGGAAGTTTCTGTTAGCACATATGTGAAACAGAAAGTGCAATTAGATGGAAGAAAAACCAGAGTTTTTGTAGTAGTGCCAGCCAAGGAAGTAAACTACTGCTAATCTCGAAAATGGCCTGGGTTGAGCAAAGAGGCTAATAATGGGGGAAAAATGGGTTTCTAAAGTGTTGAATTTCAGGAGTATTAATGAGAAGGCAGAGGGTTGAGAAAGTGAGAATTTGCTAAAATATGTGATAATCACAGAAATACTACACAGACACAAAATGATGGATTTCAGAACTTTCATAAAATAACTAATATGTTGAGAGCCTGGGATTTTTTTTCCACTCCCCATAACAGCATCATGGTAGATGTTATTGCAGAAAGACTGGAAGCTTGATTGATTGACTGGACTAGTCATGCCCCATCTAAACCCAAAAGATCTAAGAAGGAAAGCAGTCTTATAATGGAAATTGGGTGGACAGACTGCATCTTTTTCTCTTCAGTTACCAGTGTTGGTTAGCATATGAAAGTAGACATTTTTTTCCCTGTTAATATTGCTTTTCCTTGTAATGAATGAATATCTTTTTTTTTTTCTTGGTCTTTTTGAGACAGGGTCTCCCTGTAGTCCCAGATAGCTTGGAATTCACTATGTAGACCAGGCTGGCCTCTGTCTCACAGAGAATCACCCAAGTGCTAGAACTAGAGGCCTGTACCACTGCACCCTACATCTCTCTGTTTTTAAGTAAACTATTTTGAAAGTCAGTTATTACAAGATGCATACATCCACACAGGTGTCGCTCCTGACAGCTTCTCACCACATTTGCTGCTGCCCCTCAGGGTCCATCCCGGTAGACGGCTCATCCAGCAGCACCACAGACGGGTTCCCCAGGATACTCAGCCCGAAGCACAGCTACAACAAGAGGGACAGCCCGTCTGGCAACAGCCTGGGGCATGCTCAGAAGGGTACTGAGCTCTGTACATACCTTTCTCTTCACTCCCTCTGATAAGGTCTTTACAGGAGCCTTCAGCTGCTCTTGCAGTTTGAGGGCATCCACCAATCTGAAGGAAACAGTGTGTCAATCGTATGAGGTATGAGCACCAGGGAAATGCATGTGGGAGAGCAAGGAAATCTAACACTAAAGTTCACCAAGGTTGTATGCTGGAGGCTTGGTCATAGTTGGTGATGTGAGGAGGCAGTGTGAGTCTTTAACCACTGGAGATTAGTGGAAGACTCTTAGGGCAACTAAGGGTGCGTCTTCAGAAGGGATTGTGGAGTCTGTCTTTCCCTGGTCTCCTTGCCTGGTCATTCATGAACATCTGTAATATCATGCCCTCCTTCCAATCAGGGAATGATTGGGGTTTCTCCACATACCGTGTAATGGTGACCAAGGCATCCCCTTTGTTCAGCCCTTTCACAGCGGCATACACCTCCAGGTGCTCCTTCACAGTCAGGAGGGGCCACAGCACATTCTCCTGAGGACAGTACCCCAGGAACCCCAGGGCATCCCCTTCACCGCTCCCTTTCAGAAACACCTATGCAAAAAATATTGCTTTCTCAGATTATTTTCAAAATTCTGTGTGTACATGTGAGAGTGTATGTATGCATGTGTGTGTATCTACATCTGTGTGTGCATGAGCATGTGTACATGCATGTGAGTGTATGTGTGCATGAGTGTGCATGCATAAAAGTGTGTATGCGTGTGAGTGTGTGTATGCATGTGAGTGTGTGTACGTACGAGTCTGTATGCATGTGAGTATACACTTAATGATGTTCTCGTCATGCACATGCGTGCTAAGAGCGTAGGAGTAATCATTCAGATAAGGAAGGTAAAACAATAACTTAAAAGGCTAGCATTCCACACAGTTATACCCCAGCATCAGAGTTTAGAATTTATTGCCAAATCCACCACCATGTCAAGTTAAGGCTGCTTATCTGGTGGTTCATTGTTTGACTGTGTTCATTGATGCAAACACCCAACACAGTAGATGATTGTTAAGCATTCTCTTTCCTCAGTAGGGCAGTGGTTCTCAGCCAAGGACAATCCTCCTCCTAGAGGATGCAGCACTGTCTGGAGACATATTAGGTTGGCACAAGTGTGTGCATATTTGTGATGGGAAGGGTACTGCTGGCCTTGGTGGGTGGAAGCCAGAGATGTTGCTAAATATCCCACTACGCACAGCCAAGCAATCCCAAATGTCATTCATGTTAAAGCCAAGCAATCCTGAACTAATAGATGAAATCCCTTAGCACTGTGCCTACCACATGGGAGCCAATACAAGGATAAGATTTAGTATGTGATGAGTTTAGCACTGAGCTGTGTAACAACGGTAACAGCTAATGTGCACTCCGTGCTTCTCTGTGCTGGAATCTAAGCAGTCCAGATATCTTCAATTACGTTATCTTTACAAAAAACACTGCAATAGCTATATATTAGCTTTATTGCTAAGTTTTTAGCTATGTGAACATAATATATTTATGGATTAAGACATTTGCATGAGGTCATAGACGATAAACTTGAGATCTGAAACGAGAATCTATTTTCAGAATCTAATCCTATGACTGTGACTCTCTATTGTCTCCTGTACAAAGGAAGGAAAAAATGAGTTAACTTTGTTTTACAGAGCTCTTGCTCTGGAGAGAAGCAAAAAATAGAGAAGTTAACATATTTTTGGACACTTTGTGAAAAATTAGGTGGCTGTAAGTAGTATGTGGGCTTAAATCTGAGTCTTCAATTCTATTCCACCGATCAATGTGTCTGGTTTTTTATTTGTTTGTTTGTTTGTTTGCCAGTACCATGCTGCTTTTATTACTATAGCTCTGTAGTATAACTTGAAATCAGGGATGGCGATGCTTCCAGCTCTTTTGTTGTTCAGGATTGTTTTGACTACCCTGTTTCTCTCTCTCTCTCTCTCTCTCTCTCTCTCTCTCTCTCTCTCTCTCTGTTTCTCTGTGTTTCCATATCAAATTTGAGATTATTTTTTCAATTTAATGGGGATTGTGCTGAATTTGTAGACTGTTTTTGGTAGAATGGCTGTTTTCACTATATCAATCCTACTGGTCCACGAGCATGGGAGACTTGATAAGCTTTAAAACTTAACAGAAGACATGAAGTGATGGGGGTAAGGGGTTGGGAAGGGTCTGAATATGATCAAAAGTACATTGTATGATATTTTCAAAAAATCAATTAAATATTTTTTAAATATTTTATTCATTATTTTTATTTTATATGTACGAGTGTATTGCCTACGTGTATGTGAGTGCAACCATGTCATGCAATGCTGCAGAGATCAGAAGAGGGCTTCTGATCCCCCTGGAACTAGAGTTAAGGATGGTTCATAGCCACTATGTGGGTGCTGGGAATCGAACCTGGGTCCTTCACAAGAGCAGTCAGTGCTCTTAACCACTGAGCCATCTCTCCAGCCCCATCAATTAAATATTTTAAAAATCATGTTGACACATACATTGACTGATTATAGCCTCAGCTTAATGCTTTCGTGGACATATGTGTGCCTAAAAATAAGATAGGCAAATAGAATAGATAGCAAAAGACCTTTTTGAGAAGGTGGAACTTAAAGTGATACTAGAGAAATAACCAAGCACAAGAAGATCATTCTATCCACTGGGAGATCAAGACCAAATATCCTACAGTGAGAAGAAAGTCAATCTAGCAAGGGGTAGAGGGAGAGATAAGCAGTCAGCACAGTCCACGATGTGCTAAGCTTTCTGCAGCAATGGTAGAGTTTGAAGCAATTGTAAATGAAAGTTTATAAGGCACTGCTCTGGCTCCTGCCTCATGTAGGAGTGGAAAAAACAAGGCTATTCCACAGCAGTCATACCACTGTGCAACCCTCCCTCCTCAACCCACCATCTGACCTTAACCTCAGATCAAATGTCAACAACAATTTTTCTCCAAAGTTGTGCCTTTGGTTTCTGTTCACACCTTTATCCAATTTGGCCTAGAGAAATGTAATTCACATATAATTTTAACTATAGCATGGAAGCAGATACTAGTTACAAATGTAGAGACTCATGACTGTAACCATATCAGCAAGACTTCTCATAATTCTAACACTGGTCTTTGGTATAATGTTGGATGACACACTTTAGTTTATCAAGTTCTTGGGATAGAAAAGTTAGTAAGGCAATGGCCTCTGATCTCTAGGTGTGTGTGTGTGTGTGTGTGTGTGTGTGTGTGTGTGTGTGATGTGTATGTTTTCAGTAGTATCTCTATTTTCTACTTATTAAAAGGCTTTGCACTGATGAAATAAGCCCTTGTCAAAAATGCTTTTTGGAATTAAGGAGGAAAAAATTAATCCATCATCCTATTCGTTCAGTGCATACATCACTTCAGTTGATTAAGGGTCAGCTATGCAGTTCAAAAGCTGTTCTGCTTAGGGGCTGGAGAGATGACTCAGCGGTTAAGAGCACTGACTGTTCTTGCAGAGGACCCAGGTTCGATTCCCAGCACCCACATGGCGGCTATGAACCATCCTTAACTCCAGGTCCAGGGGAATCCGAAGCCCTCGTCTGACCTCTGCGGCATTTCACGACAGGTGTGCACTCACATACACACAGGCAATACACTCATACACAAAAAATAAAAAAAATAATAATAAAAACATTTTTTTAATATTTTATTTATTACTTTTTATTTTATGTGCATGAATGTATTGCCTGCACGGTATGTATTGGCCAATACCCATGGAGCTCAGAAGAGGGTGTTGGATCCCCTGGACCTAGAGTTACAGATGGTAGTTAGCCTCCATGTGGGTGCTGGAATCAAACCCAGGTCCTCTGTAGGAGCAGCCAGTGCTCTTAACTGCTGAGCCAGCTCTCTAGCCCCAGCTATGTATTTTTTAAGTTGCCATGAATATTCACTGTAGAATGATTGTTCCATGCAGTGTTATAGACCGTTCTTCTGGGCAGGTTACTGACCTGTCCTGCAGTTGGTTTTATGTCTCCAGTTATCATCCTGATCGTTGTACTCTTACCAGCTCCATTGTGTCCTAACAGCCCTAGAACTTTCCCTGAGAAAAAGAGATATGCTTAAGAATAGGCAAATAATTACAAAGAGTAAAACCAAATACAGTTTGAGGCCTCTCTGTGTGTAAAGTGCTATGTAAAATGTGCTGTGTACATTATTTCACTCTTTTCATACACATACACAGACACGTGATGTTATTACTAATCTCATCATATAGGGGAAGAAGAAGAGCACAAATAACTTGCGTATGATAAGTTATTGCCTAAGGTCAGTTAGTAAGAGACTGAGCTGGAATTTGAAACAAAGCTTGTTGCATTTAACTAACACTTCCATGGCAAATGCTACTTTTAAAAAAATTAAAGCTAAATTCTTACTCTGTAGTCCAGACTAATCTGGAACTTGCTATGTATGCAGCCAGGCTGGCCTTGAAATTGAGACAATCCTCTTGCTTCAGCCTCCCAAGTTCTAGGATCACAGGCATGAACTGTCATTTCCAGCTATCATGAGCTATTTATTAAGAATAAAAGATATACAACTGGGACTCTGTCAGTTCTCGTCAACCATGAAATACTTTACTTTAAAATCTATACCCGGACTTGGGATATACGTCAATGACACTGCTTGTCTACCATGCATGAGTCCCTGGGTTTTATCACCAACAATGAAAAATAAATAAATACTTGAAAGTATTAATAATTAAAATATACACTGTCTTTTTTACTTCTTTCTGTAGGTTTTAAAAGAAATGGCAACATGGAGAGGCAGTGCTGAGAAGCGGCCACCATGCCGTTGGCTAGAGATTTACTACATCCGTCCTTGGAAGAGGAAAAGGAAAAACAGAGAAGCGGCCAGTTCAAAGCCCAAATTCTTATTTCATGGATATAAAATGTCCAGGTTGCTACAAGATTACTATGGTTTCAGCCATGCTCAGACAGTGGTTCTTTGTGTTGGTTGTTCAACAGTGTTGTGCCAGCCTACAGGGGGAACAGCCAGATTCACAGAAGGCGGTTCATTTAGAGGAAACCAAAATTAAGGATCTACACTTCCTGCATTTGTGTTTTCTCGCAGAAAGCCTTATCTTAAGTTCAGTTACTCTACCAAGACCATATAATTATGTTTGATTTTGTAAGCTATAAACAATTATCTCCTATTTTGGTGTCAATTTTTCAATAAAGTTTTAATTATGAAAAAAAAAGAAATGTCATAACTCTCTTCCCAAAGAAAAACTGTTATAATTGAAACAGGCTTGTAAGCAGGAAGGCTCAGTCTAAACCTGCTGGTGCATTGGCCATCTCTCAGTGTCAAACAACAGATGATCTCGGGTTCAGATATGCATCACCCTTTGGAAAGATGGTCTTCGGAGCCCAAGACACCTCGAGGAACAGAACTGTCCTTTCCAACCTTTTCTGACGCAGAAGGAGACATTTCTTGTGGCAATCTTCTTCTTCCTTTTGGAAAAGCAATTTTTCTTTTGGCCTGCATATTCCTTCCGCAGACAGCTGGCAATAATGGCTGGTTTCTGTAAAGACCAGAAAATAGCATCATGACGTTCTCTTCTTAAACTGAGAATTGAGAGAGTGCTCCATACCCTTCCCACCACACCTTTCCCTGTATAGAATCATAGATCAAATCACTCCTGCTAGAAACTTCCCTTTTCAAACAAATTCTCCTGTGTCCAAGCTGGAATGAGGGCATTCATTGACCCAATAATTTGTTAACACACACACACACACACACACACACACACACACACACACACACGAACTCTCTTCTGAATTGCTTACGGATAGCTTGACTTAGGTATAATACTCATAAAGTTTTATTTTTGTCTTATAATGTTTAACTATATATAGCAACATTATGGCTCCCTAAAAAATAAATTTGTGTGTGTGCATGTGTGTGCGTGTGTGTGTGTGTGTGTGTGTTCCCTTTGCTTTCTTAAATTTGTGAACACTGCATACTGTACTGATGTCGTGATGAACTGTATGTGAGAGTACAAAGGAACTTCAGAGGTTTTCAAAATTAAAGTTAGTAGGTTGCTTTTTGCTTATCTGACAATTATTTGATAAGGGGTATTTTTAAGTCCCACCTCCTCAATTTGTAAGATACTCGTTGCGTTTGCTGTCTTCATTCTTTCCATCTGAACATCTTCATCTTCTTCTACAGGCTCTTCTGGATTTGGAAAAACATCACAACTTCTTGGTGGAATTCTAAAACCAAAACATCACGTTGATGAAATATTTCTAGCCTAAAACTTGCAGCAAAACCTGAATTCTATATCAGTTACTTAAATAGATGAGCTAGAACCATGGCTTAATCTCCATTCTTCTGCTCTGCCATGCGCCTTTCACAGGGCCCAGCTTCTTTCCATCCCTGAGTCAAATGACACTGCTCTTGATCATCTTTGCTTTTGACCTAAGGATAATCTCCTGGCTGGTGATGATGTTTTGTTCTCCAGCTAGCAAAGCAGTAACACACCTTCTGACAAAGGACCGTGATGCAGCTTTCCTCAAGGAAACAAAATCTAGAAATGAGTTTTGACTCTCTTTGGGAATTCTGACAGTTTCATGAGAATGATGGGCCAGACCACCTGGAGTTAGGAACACATCTCAGCCAATGCAGGTCATCGGATCACCATGCCAAGATCCGTTCAGTTACTGGACGTGTCACCACTTAAGAATATGTGTCAGAATCACTCTTTCCCGTGGTTTTAAACAAGATCCTTCATCAACCACAGTTGGGTCTGAAGATTCTTATAGCTCTCCACTGGGCTGCTTTTAAGCACTGTGGTCAGTTGGTTTCCCTAAAATACGGTGTCATCTGGGCACTTCTCTATTTTCCCAACAACTTTAGACTTGAGTTTGGTTTTAGTTATGTGGGGGAAGCTAGGTGTCAAAGGCATACTCATGTATTGGTTGCTCATTAAATAATTTTAATAGCTTCCCTATTTTAATATCTTCCAATGTCCAGTTTTACTTGACTCTTCACTCTCCTCCAACATAAGCCTTTACCTTTGTCCCAGCTGTCTCCTCTCTTCAGGAAAAATGCATGCATCTCAACCTTTGTCTTATTGCTCAACATAATGTATTTCCTTCTGGCCTCTCCCACTAGATTGCAAGATCATGAATTATAATGATTTTGCCTATAACACAGAGCTTTAAAAACAACTTTGGCTATCTCTTTTCTGTTTTTTTTTTTTAATTTAGGGATTTTTTTTTCTGGAGGGGGGTCTTCTTGAGATAGGGTCTCCCTGTAGCCCTAGCTGGCCTGGAACTTGTTATGTAGACCATCTGGTCTTGATCTCACAGGCATATGCCTGCCTCTGCCTCCCGAGTACTGGGATTAAAGGCATGTGCCACCACGCCTTGCTCTGGTTTTTTTGTTTTTTGTTTTTTGTTTTTAATTAATTTATTTAGGTGTATTAAAGTGTCCAAAAGATGAAGATTTAAATGAAACATGAAATTCTATTTGAATACTCTCAACCTGAACACAGGGTCCATCCTCAGTGATTTCTTCCTGAAATACCTCTCCAGACATCGTAAAACAAATAGGAAAATGAGAAACTGAAGGTAAGGCTAGGGAAAAAAGAATCAAAATTAGTTTCATCATAAAAACAATTATTTTAGTATTAGAATTAATTTAATGAGTTTTATCATATATAAAATAACATTTGATAATCTCATAAAGCTGAAAGACAATCTAACTGATATCTATGAAACTGTCAAGTTTAGCTTCTCTTCCGTTCAGAAAAAGCATAACAAACACTGTAGTAGTGGCTGATGAAATGGCTTAGTAGGTAGAGGTGCTTGCTGTCAAGGCAAACAAGCTGAGTTCAGTCCTTGGGACAGATATTGTGGAAGGAGAGAACTGACTCCCTCAATGGTCCTCTGACCTTCACATTTGCACTATGGCATGCACACACCCACATACATAAATACATAACATACACATAGATAGATAAATAATTTTAAACTACATAGTAGTAATGAATTGATAGCAATAATACTAAAGCCATATAAAATTTGGATGTCTTGTTTGTCATGAGAAGATCATTGTCATGCTAGTGGTTCATATTTTAAGTCACTGTGAATATGTGTGTGCATGCATGCACACAAGTATATGCACGCATGCATGTGTGTATACCTGTTACTTCAGGTGCCCAAAATGTCCACATATTTTTAATTTCTTTCAATTTAAAGAAATTCAAATCATACAAATGCCATGTCTCTTCGTGCAAAAGTCATTGAAAAGAAAGTGTCATCTTACTATTAGCAGTGCCAGAAATACGATTTGAGATTCTGAAGCTCCCAAGTAATCCATAGAATCATACGAAATCTGTAAAATGAGATTATGTTTCAGTGAATTTCCTCTGTTCAAGAACTTAGTTCACTTATGATGATCCCCCTTAAGTGGCCCGAGTATCAGCTACAGTCAATTTCTGATTGTCCAGCACGTCCCCCTCGCTTCCTAGTGTCTCCGTGAACTGTCAACCTGGGCTCGTCTTCAGACTGAGGTGCTTTGTGCGTAACACTGAGAGCGAGGACTGTGGGTAGTGCAGCAGGACCCACTGACGACATAAGTCTATCTTAAGACAAACCCTCTCCCTGAGCTGAGCTCACGTGCTTTCCTGGTCTCCACTGTGCTTCCCTCTATTCCGTCCCAAGAACCCAAGTTCATGGTACTGTTCCTGGCCTCTGACATTCACCTTTGAGAATGATCATGACCATTCTTCAAACCAAAGACAAAATTCTTCACCTGGAGTTTCACACAGACGTATAAAAGTACACTTTCCCATTAGATCCCCCCAAAGGGCATTTTGCTTCATTAGTAGTAAAGGATGCTTAGAGGATGGGTCAGTTTTCTTTCTTGAGATATGCTTATCAGGAATTTTCTAATAATTAGCTTTAGCTCTCAGCTTTACTTACTACATTTGAAAAATAAGGTCTTTTCACAGGTCTGTTAACTTTACTCGAGCACTCCCAGAAATAATTTCTCATACATTTTCTTCTGTTCTCAAAAGCCTGTTTTGCCTTGAACACATTACAATGACTGACTTATTTCTCTACGAGAGCAGTTATTCAAAGGAGAGACATCTCATCTCTCAAGAGCGAGACTACCTATTCTCTACCTGCATGAGCTCTGACTGCCGTTTTGTTAAACAGATGGACGGTTCCTCTTAAACGGGCAGTGACTTCTGCCCTTGTGCATGTTGCTGGTCTCCATTCACCTGCTCAGGGAGTTGACTCTCTAGGGAACGCTTTTTTTCTGCCAGGAATTTGTCTCATATTTTCTATCAGCACAGTAGGTCCTTTTTAAGGGCAGATGAATCAAAGAATCTACCTTCCTGGTTAATCTCGTCCATTTCTTGAAAGGCCTCCTCCACACCTTGGCTCTCCTCACTCCCAACACTCCCCATCTTACATTCTCTACTCAGCACACGAAGGAAAGCTGGCACTGTCGTCAAAACTGGCCTTTCTGCTATCACCAGTGACCTTCATGTGCTGCAAGCTCATGGCCTCTTTTCAGTTCTCATCCTCCTGAACGGTTCAGGAGCATTGGATGGTTGCATTGCTCTTTACTTATGGAAACATTCTTTAATCCCATCTGCCATCCGCCCTTTGAAACTGACACTTACACTGCTGAAGGAGAGTTTCTGGGAAGGGATTCTGACCCTCAGAAGTCTGCCTTTTCTCTGGCTCCTGTTTGAACTGATCTGCTGACTGTTCCTCTGCCCAATCTCTGAATTTTGGAGTTCAAAGTCAGGTTCTTGGCTCTTTCCAATTCTACTTAATTTACTCCGTAGGTTATATGGTTCAGTTATATAGATTTTACCAATATCATACACTGATGAATCTTAAGTATTTGCTGTGCTCTCAGTCTTCCCGTGTGTCATTACACATTTGTATATCCAACTGGATGTGTAACATCTCGTCTCACACGTCTCTGAGAACCTTAAACCTAGTATGTCTTAACCTTAACAGAAGGCATCTCTTTAGTCTCCCAGTAGGGTTCTAGTAAGTGAAGGTTACCGTGAAGGATGTAAAATGTTAACCTTCTGGGGCTGCCTTTGACCTTCACGAGCGAAGGCAGTATCTTTCTACTCAAAGGTAACATGTCCATGCCCTTTGCCTGTTTGTGAAGGATGTAAAATGTTAACCTTCTGGGGCTGCCTTTGACCTTCATGAGCAAAGGCAGTATCTTTCTACTCAAAGGTAACATGTCCATGCCCTTTGCCTGTTGTAGAGAAACCATTTTCATAAAATCAGATTTTGATAAGGCGTTTTTTGCTATTTCTTCAAAACTTATACAGCCAAGGACTATTTTTGTAATATTCGAGACTTTCTCCAGTGGCCATACATTTGTCTAAGGAAGGAGAGAACTGGAATTACATACCTCAGAAAAAATTAGCAGAGAGCCAATCAGAGTGAAGGGTGGTATTAATAAGGTGCAGAACACAAGACCCAAAAATCCATATTCATTTATATCCATAGCAACTATTGAGAAGATGGTGATCTGAAATCAGAGCAAAGTAAGCACAGTATAGTGTCATCAAAGCTTAGCAGTCTGAATTGCAGGACATTTCCTAAAAGGGTAGGAATTCATCCAATTAATGTTCTTATTATCAACATTTGTCTCGTTACTCAAGATAGTATTGCCGACATGTGTTATTGCTGTATTCCACAAACTAAGTCATAATGCTATTGGACAGTAGTGCTTCTCCAACACTTTGTAAAAAGTGTTATAGATCAGGTGAGGATCCTGCTAAAAAATCAGATTTGATAAAGACATAATTTGTTATTAATTTTTATATATCTTTCATTTTAACATGGGTCTTAGATATCTTAGATATCTTTTTAGGTCTAAGTATACTAGCTATTAATTTTTCACAGATGAATGTTTCCTTAAATGAATGTGTAACAGTTCATAATTCTGTCTTCAAAAACTTGTTGTTTTCAATTTATTGATCCTACAATTATGCTCTACCTTAATTCCTCTATATTGACACTTTCGGTATTGAAGATGCTATTGTGTAAGTATGAAAATTGATTAAAATTCTTATGCATTTAAAACATCAGAGTTACCAAAATAATTTTCAAAGAAGTTTCTGTTCCTCTAAAAGCCATGAATTGGGCTCGCACCCTGCCATGCCTCTCACAAAGGCATTATAGTTAACTGTTATAGGTTTCTGTCCAATTGCTGGTGCCAGATGAATAACTTATAATTTTAATATGATATTTTCCATTGGTTTCTCAAATCCATCCTTCTTGTGTTTAGACTGGCTTTTTCCTGGGCATACTTAGAAACTCTAAGATGTTTCTTCAGCTCATGTGATAGGCTCCTTTAATTTGATCGTTGCTAATATTGAACCATCGTTGCATTCTGTAATCGGTCATTATTGGCTATATCTTATTGTTATTACTTAAAGCTCTTTCTATGTTTATTGTTTAGAGGGTTTTGTTTTGTTTTTCTAAGTGAGCTTATCGCTTTTTTAAGCATTATGTGATTTGGGGAGGGGTTCAAAGTACTGTGGATCGAGCCTATGACATCTGTTGGGAGGCAGGTGGTCTACCACTGAGCCATAGCCCCAGCTACATTATATTTCTCAGTTTCGTTGTTATTGTTGTGCTTGTTTTATAGCAAGAACTATTCGACTTTGTGGATTTTCCCCCAATCTAAATGCTTAAATATGTTTTATTTGCTTAAACTATTTAGTCAAACTTAGAGTAACATATCTACCATGTTAATGTCACACAAAGTATTTCGCTGCCTTGAAAGTTCCCCGTGCTCACCTGTTTATCTTCCCCCACACAGCTCTTGTCAATAACTGATCTTTTATTAATATCATGTTTTTCCAGAATGTCATGCGAATGGAATCATGGTGTGTAGCCCTTTCAGGCTGCTTTCAAGTTGCTTCCATACCTTTTCATGGATTGATAGCTCACTTCTTAGTAGCAAATAGAGTTATTATATTGCATGGCTATCCCTCAGTTGAACCATTCACCATCATAGGGTGTCTTGGTTACCTCTGTGTTGGGCAATTATGAATAAGCTCTTATAATCATCTGTGCAGTTTTTTGTGGACTGAACGGTTTTATTTGTTTAGTTTTTGCTTTGAAGAAAAGCTTATGAGAACTTCATTCCTTGAGTTCATACCACTTTCAATAAACCATTTGCAAGATAAACTAGAGTTGAATATATGAATAATAATACTAATTCTACTGCTGGACACACACACACACACACACATGCCAAAATATAGACAAGAAAATTCGTAGCTGTCATTCATAGCAGCTCCAAACAGGAAGCCTTTTGATGTACATCAACAATGAACAAATAAACCACAGTAGATTCATTCATAGCACTACATATCCATGGACAGAAAGGAAATGTTGTGGTGATTGTCAGATACAGCAACATGTTGTCTTAAAAGACATTATTGATTAAGAATATATACTACGTAGCACATTATATACCATTTCATTTTATTGATTTCAGAAACAGGCTAATTTATGGAATTACAGCTAAAGATGCTGATTTTTTTATGGAGGGAGTAAGTTTGAGAATGTGATGAGAAGCCTTTAGACTCCTAATCATCTACTTCTTGATGTGTCTGGTAGTTTTACGAAGTGCTTACTTCAAAATGTTTTTGTTTTTAAAATATGTTTGCTTTCTGAATATGTTATACTTTCTAGTTATACTTTCTATTAAAATTTATTTTTAAAAGATCACAGTGTTTATACAGAAAATGGTTTTCAGTGGGCAACAGTAGAAATGGACTGATCAGTTACAGGTGTGTTGGGATTGTCCAGGGGACATAATAAAAGCTTGGATAACTGATACAACAATGAAGATGGGGCACTTGAAACAGACAGGGAAATGTCTGGAGTCTGAAGGACACACATATGCATTGAATGCAGACAAAGATAACAGATAGGAAACAAGGAAAATTCTAGATTTTTTTTACATGACTCCCTAACTGGGTGCATTTTCACACAATAAAAATGAAATCTATTATGAGCTGAGAACGAACAGGATTGAGAAGACAGATGTTAGACCTGGACCACTGAAGTCCTCTTTAAATATTCAAGTGACACTGTAAATAGACTCTTAGAATTCTCTAGCTCAAGTGATCCTCAAGCTCTGTAAACATATTTGAGAGTCATCACTTGTAGACACCAGACACCTACAAATACAGTGTAATTTACATGCATCTATGATCTCTAAGAGCCATTAGAATTTTCTAGAAAGAAACATTAACTTGACATCCTGCTTAGTACAATGATAAAAGAATATGCTCCTGGATTTGTTCAAGAAAGAGTTAAAAGCAAAACAACAGGCATTAAATGTATACTTACAATTAAGAAGAAAAATGACCAAATGCCACTGTTTTTCCTGCCGTTACGAAAAATGAATGAAATCACATATGTCAGGAAGACAAGAGATGACGCATACCCAATACTACACAGGATCTGAAGACAGAAATACTCAGGTTACATACAATGGATACTATTTATATTTAGTAAAGTATTCAGACTCTTCCCTCAAGTCTTCAAAATGGTAGTATAGATACTTCGAAATCCTAAGTTCTAAGAGTAATAATTTTGGTAGGGGATGCTAGGCAGGCAGGAAGGAAGGGAATGAAAGACCCCTCTGCTGCTGTTTCCTTTCCCAGCACCATTTGAAATACGGGGATATCCATATCAGTTTGCTCTCAAACAAATGGCCTGACTGATTGTTGCTAATACCCTGGTAGATGTTTAAAATGTTAAAGAAGACAAATTTTAAGTGCTAAATGAAAAAAAAGTCTCAAAACTGCTTATAACCCATCTTCAAGTATTAGTCTTCCATAGCTAGATAAAAAGCCAGAACTAGCCTTTCAGGAAACAATGACGGGCCACAGGCTGCTTCTAACTAATGGCAACGTTCGTGGCAAGGGCTTTAAACAGCCAAAAGACGGTAACGCTAGGAGGTGAACTGAAAAGAAATAATTTATTCACCCTCGGACCAAAGCTAACACAACTAAAAGGTAAACTGATAACAAATGCAGTTAGTTATTATTTCTTCTTATCTCTGTCACACCCCGAGGCCTAAGCTACCTAGAGCAAGTGTTAACTGACTACAAGGCAAAGCAAAATAATATCAATGTTAAATATTTTCTCCTTAGTTGTCCTAAAAGGGTAGGGAGCTGCTTTTGAGCTGATTTTGTGAGCAAGGCCCCTGTTACCTTGAAAGGGGGACAATTTTGGATCCCTTCAGTGTAATGTAGAGAATAATGGCCCAGCACAGCTGTTCTTTCTTCTGTCATGGTGTGCTGCCTTGTCCTCCAAGGGGTCTTTCTCTCAGTGTTCTATTAAAAGTTTAACTCTTTCTCCTTCCTTCTCCCAGAAGCTGCTGTGATCGCCAGCTGCTGTGATCGCCAGCTTCTGTGTCCTGTTGTTTTCTTATTTGAACCGCCCCCCAAATTATTCCCAAGTTCCTTTGTGGGTCGGTTTTTTATTTCTTTTACCAACTAGCCCTGGAATCTGCAAAGGGTACTCTGTGTCCCAAGTGACAATATTACTGCACTCATGAAAAAGGTAGTCTAAAAAAAGTTACTCTTAAAACAAAAGGATTTGAAAATCTTTATCACTTACCTGAATTAACAGGTTTTCAACTATAAATAAAATCTCCTCCTGGCTGAAAACACAGTCCATTATTTGCATGAGAAGGAGAATCAAGAAGTACAGGGGAATGTCCACCAGGGCCTGTCCACACCAGTAGGCAGAAGGGCAGAGACCTGAAATCCACAGTTGGGAAAGAACTCCTTTCTGATAAAGAAGAACAGAAAAAAATCATCAAGAGGTTCAGAAAAATTGAGACAGAAACTGTAAACAGTCACAATATCTAATTTTTATTATATCCCTTTAATAATTATTACTCTGATTTGGCAAATGGCATTGCCACTTGCCACATCCCTGCATTAGAGGCAATAATAATACAAACTTAGTACAAAAATAATAGATACAAAGGCATGGTGACACATATCTTTAGTCCCAATACTTGAGAGACAGAGGCAGGCAGATCTCTGTGAGGTTGAGGCCAACCTGGTCTACATAGTGAGTTCCATGCCAGCTGGGGTTACAGGGAGACCCTGTCTCAAAGAAACAAGCAAACTTAGATGATTGACTCATTCTCTTAAGGGATATTCAGCTGGGCCTCGAGCACTGTTGGGTATTGTCAGGAGTGTTGGTGTTAGTGATAGATTTTTATTGCAAGCACCTTTTAATGTTTATTTTTCTTTTTTTTAAAAAAAAAGACAGACTGCGGAAGGAATTCACTGCAAGTGAGGAGACAAACAGGCAGCTATTGCAATGATCCAGGAAAAGACCTGTGATGATACAGACCAGGATAAAAACAGCAATGAAAGAAATCGATGGATTTGATCATTTGCAATAGACTCTAAATATTGGTTACTCATCTCTGTGGCATTATCAAGTGGGTTGTTGCATATCAGGAAGTTGATAACTCTGAAAAAAGCTTTAAAAGGGCCCCAGGACTAAACAGTATGTTTGGACATCAAACACACCAAAATATTAAATCATAACTTCTCACAGAAACCTATTTGAGACAGATGTAATGACCACGCCTTTCACAAGTGAAAGACAGGCGAAAAATACAAGAGTAAATTACACAAGTTTTTAAATTCATTCAGCTTGAAAATAGAAAAAAACAAGTTTTGGACATGGGGAGGTTTAACTCAAAAAATTAAAATATGTACAAAATATTGACAAGTAGAAAGAAAATTGTGAGGGAAGGAAAGGGAAAACAGTCTCTAGTGTTCCTCTTTGAAGAAACTGTCAAAGACGGCGATGCTTTAAGGTTAGAATAAATGTGGGGTGTGCTGGCACAGGCCTTTAATCCCAGGATTTGAGAGGCAGAAACAGATGGATCTCTGTAAGGCCAAGAATAGCTCATCTCTATGAGATTGAGACCAGCCCGGCCTACATAGTAAGTTCAAAGCCAGTTGGGTCTACAGGAGAAACCCTGTCTCAAAAAGACCAAAGAAAACAAAGGATAAATGAAAATTAATTCAAGGCCAGCACGCCCATCTCCTGAACATTCACGCGGCTCGGTGCTACAAACATCAGGTCAATGACATCAAGAGACAGGAAAGGGCTTTTCAGGGCACTGGAAGGGAAGACTTTCACACAAGCGTCTTGAATTTTATACAAAAGCTTGACGAAATTTAAGTGTAAGGGGGAAAGTCTTTTCTTTAACAATGGTCAAAATATTGTGGTGAGCTGATGAGGACTGTTTGAATATTTTCACTACCAAGTGAGGATACTGTTATCTCAGACAGTGTTTTGAATAAAAACAAGTGATACATATTTAAAAGTTGTCTTTTCCTGCTAGTCATGGTGTTTCCTAATCTGTTCTTCCTGTTTGAGAAAACTGTGTTTTATTAATATTTTGGCATTCTGTTATTGCTTAATTATTAATTACATCTAACACAGACACGGGATGCCATGACCTGCAGGTAAATCTATGTTCACAAGGTTTAAAGGAGAGTTTGCTGGACTTTAAAGGTGTCTGAAGACTTCAACTCTTCTTACCTTGTAGTCACTGATGCTGCTCATGGCGATATAAGGGGTGAGACCGGCAGCCACTGGTATCCAGAAGAATGCATTGGTCATGTACCCGTGCTCCTGAAATCACGGCAGACACAGTCAGCAGCCGGCAGCCGAGCATTCATTCATTCCCACTGTTTTCATGGCATCAAACAAATACAAGAATCGAGCTAACCCCTGAAAGACCTTTCCAAGGTCCTGCTTGTGGCATGAAGATTCTGCCCTCCATTTTAAGATTACAGCATTTCAGACATCAATGACAAGGCTGATGGTGTGGCAGGAAATGGAGATTGCGAACCACCAGTGAAGGGAATATCTTTCTACTCAGAAACCGACACAGAGCTGTTTATTTCAGCGTTTGTAGTCCTTCCACTGTTTCAGCATAGTGCAGAAGTATCAAGTTTACACGCCTTCAGGGACCGGCAGATGGAAAGTAATGAGAAGGTGGATGTGAGCAAACAAGGGAGATACGAGTTATGATTCCAGCATGGAGGCGGAGGGGCTCCCGAGCCTCAACCCCTAGCTGAGGAGCTATGGATAGGCCATGGCTGCTGGGCCAGGGAGAGTCAGTTTTCTTAAAGGGTGTGATCCCTGGTTGATCAACCAAGCTCCAGTGGATGGCCTCATGCCCATAAGTACATGGGCAGAACAAACTGGGCTTGGTGAGTTATAGGCTCTGCTATGCATTTGTTTGAAACTTTATATAATAAAAAGTTGCCTCAAAACAAATAATAGCTGTTCTCATGTCCACTTCCGATCTCATCAGTACCCTAAACTAGACAAAACTGAAAGTTCTTTACTGAAAACTACTTTCAATGCCACTCCAAGGAAAGAAAAAGCCTGAACAGCAATAAGAAGAACTGTAATTTATTGAGTAAATTATATTTTATTTTCATGCCTAATTGTTTTTACAATATCTTGGCCAAATTGTCTGGTGTGTACATTAGCTCATTTAATTCAGAGGAAATTTTTATGTGACATTTTATCTGTACATTTTGTGAATTAAGGCATTAAAAACTACAAAAATTAAATTGTTTAAGAAGACTATATTGTGTGACCCTTAGACTTCTCCTGTTCAACTCTGCCCTACTCCCTAGAGCTGCGGAGGACCTCACACCAGAGATCATCATGTTTTTTCCAATTAATTGTAGTTCTTGTTGCCCTGTTCCCCATACATCATCTAACTGAACTTAGACTGTTTAATAATTATTGCCAAACAGTATGATACCATATGTTGTGGTTTATATATGAAGTTATGCCTATTTAAGAATGTTTATAAAATTGTCATGTTGTTATTTCCTTCATTACAAAGACTTTCTTGAAAACATCTAATGGCTCATTGTAAATGAGATCATATTATACTTACTTCAAAAAATGTGCTCCTGTCAGTCTGAATGCGCTCTGAGGAATTAAGGATTCCAAGCATCCCGTTGCTAATAATATCCATGAGGACTGGAAAGCAGTTTAATCTTTTGGTATTGCATGCTATTGAAAATCTGTGATCCTAAAATATAATTAACATTTCTTAATCCTCAGGAAGCAAATGAAAATTTAATGGATGACCATGTGAGAAAATTATCCAAATTATTGATGATATAGCAAGACAAAAACAGAAAAGTAATTAATATCACCACTGCTTATTCAGTTCCCAATATACTTAAGGAATTCAGAATTTTGTTTAGGGTTTCTATCTCCCTTACATCAGTCTATTTGTGCACAGAATTTCACAAAACAAAATAATTCAAGTGATTTTTAGCAGCACTACAAAATTCCATAGTATATCACTTGAAAATGTCACAGACATTTTCCCAAATGTGATGCATTCATTTTACAAGTAAAAGGTGTGCAGATACTCAGGAAACAGGAGGCAGGCAGACAGCTGTACTAGAAAGGTGACTTTCCACAAATACTGAGTTTGCATGTAAAATCACCTTTTGTATTACAACAATACAACATTCATACACATAGACACAACATGATTACTTCTTCAAAGTAAAGGGAAATAAATTGTCTATATTGTCCAAAATATAGGAAAACATTTAGGATGCATTTTTATAATCATGAATAAATCAAGTGTACCATTTCTACCATAATTACCTGAAACAATGTTTAAAGTACTTTAAGAGTACTTTTCTGATTAATACTAGAGATGAATTCCACTAGGACCTATAGAAGTAATTTCTTTTTATTTTTTTCAGGGTGGCTCAGGTTGGCCTTAAACTTACAATTCTCTTGACTCTGAAGTAATTTCTTAACTTGTTATTGGCTTGGGACAGTAGTTCAGAAATTATTCCTATAAATCAATTGGATGATGAAATATAAATGGTGAAGCTTCAGAACACCTACTAATGGTGATTTACTCACTTAGCTTGATGGTTAACTTATCTTTTCCCACCAGTTTGCTCTTGGGATCTCTAATTCAAACTCCTCCAAGACCTAGACAAGTGGTAAAAATGAGAGACACAGTACGAAGATGCAGCAAACTGCAGCGTCCAGGCCAAGTCTTAAACCTAACAGTTGTTCTCAGCTCTCACTGAGAATTTAAAGTGATTATTGAGGAGGAATTTAATTGCTAAGATTTTCGAATTACTATTAAAGCAGTTGTTATATTGGAGGTGGCAGGCAGAAATAATTATAGCTCAGCTTCTCCTATGAAAATGAGAAATAGTCCATTGTGTCAAGTTAGCATTTTTTGTCTATTGGTTTGAATTATTCGAATTGCATATTCACAACCCACCTTAGGTGAAATGTATCAGTTACAGCCCAACATACCTTTTCATCACCTGACACAGTGATAGCACCGTTGTATAATGACTCTTCTGGGCCATTTCTGGTTCCAAAGGCATCCACTTCTAATGAAATGTTCTGCAGTCTTAGTGAATGGATAAAGTTATCAATGCTTGACCCTACCATGAAGGCAAGCATCAAGGGACAGGAAAATGAAACAAAGCAAGTCAATTAATACAAAAACTAAATGATGTCACTCAAAGCATGCCATACTGTTGACTGCTTACAGATATACTCAGAAGGCAGAACTGGGGTTAGAGAACAAAAAATCCATTCTCATATCATGAATGTAATAAAGTTTCTCTACACAGTCTAAAACATATTAATTTCTAGTATTATATAATTTATAGGCGTGTAACTCAATGGTCTGGCACTGGATAGCATGCATTCGGCCCTGGGTTCAATCTCCAGTACCACAAAATAATAATGAAAGCAAAAACCTAATCACTAACAGTGTAACCCTTGAAGCTATTAATCTTTTTTTTTTTTTTTTTTTCCGTCTTTTTGAGACAGGGTCTCCCTGTAGCCCCAGCTGTCCTGGAACTCACTGTGTAGACCAGGCTGGCCTTGAACTCACAGAGATCTGCCTGCCTCTGCCTCCTGAGTGCTGGGAGCTATTAATGTTTTATCTTATGATTTGGAACATTTTTTTTTTTTCTTCAGAGTCAAAGTAATACAGAGACTTACAAAAACCGCAAGACAAAGACCACAAAGACCAGTCAATTATTTACCTTTCTAAACTCACTTTGCGCTTTAGCAATAGCCTTAGGGTTTAAGTAAACTTCAAAAATGTGTTTCTAAAACAAACTCTCCAAACCTGAACTTGTCATTTCTTTGACTTAATCTTCGGTTATGCCTCCATGTTTTCTAAAAGACACAGAAATTATTTTTCCCATCGTGTTTTATATTTTTCTGGATAATCTCTAAATAAGAATGTGCTTAAGTGGAGATCTTTTTGGGGGGTTGAAAACTCATTCGGTTTTATGTTTTTCAGGGTTTGTACTGAGTTCAATATTATGTAACAGTATTGATTCAACAATAAACCTAAAAACTTTACAGTCACTTTTGAAAGAGATGTATCTTTGCTCTGGAAACTATTTTTGAGTATGTTAAAGCTGTAATGAAATGCTTCTTCTAAAAAATAAAAAAAAAATTAAAAGAAAAGAATGTGTTTTGAAGTTCCACTTTAGCTCTGTGTTTACCTGTTTGATTGATGACTAGTAAGTGGGTCAGAGGATCCTGCGGTGGTTGTCCTGGAGAGAGGAAATACATCCGCGGAGACAGGCCCCAAGAGTAACTCTTATGGTACAGTTCATAGAACAGATGTTCCAGTAGTTGAGGGAGAAAGCTAATCCCCAAAAACAATAGTCTGTGTGGAGGGAAATAAATATAAAGAATATTCTGTTACAACACGCATAGGTGTCTATGTTCAAGCAGGTAATGGGTACAGTAACACAGACAAATCACAAGCTTTAGGGAACATTTCAATCACCATTCTTTCTTTGCTCTGTTCTTTCTAAAATATTTCATTTCATTTATTTTATTTTATTTATTTTATTTTTTTTTATCTTTTTGAGACAGGGTCTCCCTGTAGCTCCAGCTGCCTAGAACTCACTCTGTAGACCAGGCTGGCCTCGAACTCACAGAGGATCTGCCTGCCTCTGCCTCCCAAGTGATGGGATTAAAGCTGTGTGCTTCCACTCCAGGCTCATTTATTATTTTTATTTTATGTGTATTAGTGTATTGCCTGCATGCATGTAAGGGCACCCCTGTCATGCAATGCCCACGGAGGTCAGAAGAAGGTGTTAGGTCCCCTGGACCTGGAGTTACAGATGGTTGTTAGCCACCATGTGACTGCTGGGAACCAAACCCAGGTCTTCTGGAAGAGCAGCCAGTGCTCTTAACCTCTGAGACATCTCTCTGGCCCACTTTAATCTTTTTAAAATGATATGGTTCCTATGTGTGTATCTTTGACTTTTTTCTGTCTGATAACTTAATTTCGCCTTGAACATTTCATTTGGGCTTTCTCAGTCTGCTGATTCTGACTTTATTATTTATTTATTTATTTATTTATTATTTGTTTATTTATTTATTTTTGAGGCAGAGTCTCATGAAACTTCTGCTGGCCTTGAATTTTCTATGTAACCAAGGATGACTTAGAACTTCTGCTCCTCCTGCCTCTACTGCATAAGTGCTGGGATTGTAGGCATGCTAAAATTTTACAAAAGACCTAATACTCTAAAACTGCTGGGAGAAAAAGTAGGGAGTGTGCTGCAACATACATGTATGGGTATGATTTTTTGACTAGGCCTCCAGTAGCACAGGAAATAAGACCTAAAATCAAAAAAGGAGATCTCGTGAAATGAGAAAGCTTCTATACAGCAAAGGTAACTGTCAATCAAGTGAAGAGAAATTCTACAGTATGAGAGAAAATTTTAATCATCTATATATCTAACAGAAAATCAATGTCTAGAACATAAAAAGAATTTTAAAAGGTAAACACCAAGAAAGGAAACAACCCAATTTAAAAAGCAGGCTACAGAGCTAAACAAAGTTCTCAAAAAAATAAAAAAAGAAATACAAATGCTTAGGAAAACATTTTAAAAGTTTCAACATCCTTAGCCATTAGAGAAATGCAGATTAAAATTGCTTTAAAATTCCATTTTACCCCAGTCAGAGTGATTATCATCAAGAATACAAATAATATTAAATGTTGGTATGGATGTGGAGAAAGAGGAGCCCTTATATAGACTGTTGGTGGGAATGTGAACTAGCATCATCACTTTGGAATTCAGCCTAGAGCTTTCTCAGAAACCTAAAAACAAAACCATTATATGACCCAGGTGTTCCACTCCTCAGCATATACCCAAAGGACTCCAGACCCTACAGCAGTAACCATATTCATTCTTGTCCTATTCCCAACAGCTAGGAAATGGAGGCAGCCCAGCCTAGATGCCAAACAACTGGTAAATGGATAATGTAGGTGTGGTACATAAACACAATGGATTACTACTCAGCTGTAAAGAAAAATAAAATTATGAAATGTACAGGGAAATGGATGGAATAAAAAAAAATTATTCTAAGTGAGGCAACCCAAGCCCAACAGGACAAGTATCGCCTGTTCTCTCTCATATAAACATCCTAACTTCAACTCTTTAGTGTGGTGTGTCTAACATTCAGTACCTGTGCAAGTCAGGAGATAAGGAAGGCGTGATGGATAGTTTTAGTTGTCAACTTCACACACCTGGGAAGAGGGACCTCAGTTGGGGAACTTCCTCTATCATATTGGCCTGTGGGCACGTCTGAAAGGCATTTTCTGAACTGTTGAGTGATGTGGGAGGACCCAGGTCACTCTGGATGGTGCCACTTCTGGGCAAGTAGTCCTGGGGTGTATAAGGAAACAGGCTGAGCACAGGCCAGGGGAGCGAGCCAGTAAGCAGCGTTCCTCCATGGCCTGTGCTCCAGATCCTGCCTCCAGGTTCCTGCCCTGAGTTCCTGCCCTGGCTTCCCTCAACGATGAACTATGATAAGGAAGTATAGGGCAAATAAACCCTTTCCTCCCCAAGTGGTCTTTGGACAGAGTGTTTTATCACAGCAACAGAGAAGCAAACTAAGACAGACAAGAATGGGGAAAGTAATGCAACCAAAAGGTTGCTGTTTGCAGTGTAAACAAGATCACCAATCCATGTGCTCCTCTTGTGATTTGGGCAAAGGGCCTCAATCCTTCAACCTTGCCTTCCACCCAAGACAGTGTATGCATGTCTGTATACATGTTTTTCATACCAAAGTGTTGCACACAGCATGCTTTTCTCATTGTAAACAATGAAAGAAATTGTGAACCCTCGGTAGTTGTATGTGTGGTATTCTAGGTCTAGGGATCAGAGGGCAAAATTCTTCTCTGATAAGATAACGGTAGATCTGACTTTTACTTCTCCATTTCATACTGGAGATGCTGTGTCTATAAAGAATGATCAAAGCCCTGCTCCAGACCACAGTTCCAAGAGAAATCTGAAGGAATAGGTTCTCAACAGTTCAGGCCCACTTTTGGCCTTAAAATGGACGTTCTTTATTAAGGCATAGCTGCAATGTGGCATAGACACACTGCACAGACAGATGATACTGGAGGATGAATACTCTTGAAAGGTCCATGTGTTAAAGTCCTGGTTCCCAGAGTGGCACTGCTGTTAAGAGAAGGAACTGATAAGCTCTCTATCCTTTGGTCATTGGGAATATGACCTTAAATGGGATTATGGGAATTCAAATTCTTCACCTCTGTTTGTTTCTTGACTCATGATGGACCTATCTGCTCCACCTTGACCCCATCCAATGATGTGGCACCTTCACCAGAGACACAAAGCTTGGGGCAGTCTGATCTTGGACTGCAACCTCCAGTACTGTGAAGCAGAATAAATCTTCCTCTTTATAAGCTCGTTGCCTTCAGTATTTCATTACAGTGATGGAAAGCTAGTACAATTATGCATGTCTGATTTATGTTAATAGATGTACAATCATTAAGCAATAGTTATATATAGGAGTGCTTATAAATATTTTTGTTGAATGAGTCTTTTGAGCATAGACCTAGATTTTTACAACACAGCATTCCTCAGTGAGGTGGAAACTATAAGGGAGTGACCTTTACAGTGGGCTCCAGGCACAGTTGTGAAGTTGAATAAGAGAGGTACGGAGTCCCAAGACTGTGAAAATGAAATGGTGCCTCAATGCCCAGCCTGTTAACATTGACTCTAACCTGAGCTTTCAGGCTGCTGATCTGTCCTATAAATTTCAGACTTTACAATCCACCTTTAATCCCAGAACTCAGGAGGTAAAGGCAGGTGGCTCTCTATAATATTCAGGCCAGCCTGGTCTACATGGTAAATTCTAGGCCAGCTGCAGCTACTGGGAGACCCTGTCCCAAAAGCCAAAACAAAAGATACTTTGTAAACATTTATGAAATTTTTCAGATTTTAAAAAGGAATCCCAGACTTTATCTGTTTTGATTATATGGGCACACAAGCAATTTTTTAAACAAAATGTTTAAAGGATCATGTGCAGTTACTGGAGTTTACTTTCTCAGACTTCAGTGGTTTGCTCTTGTATTTATTTTGAGTGCATGAACCAATCTGCTCTGGAGCACTCAGAAACTCACATGGTCAATAAGCTTTTCCTTTCATTCTTTAGCTTTAGGAAGCGAACTTTTGCGACTGTGCAGAGCTGCTGCCTCCAGAGTGCCGTGCCGCTCACTGTCTTTCTTGTCCCACTGAGGGAGGACAACATTTCTTGCAGCTCAACAAGGCTCCCCCTGCCTTTCTCCCCATCACTTTGCAATTGCCCCCAAATTCCAACATCTGAAATATAAAATCAGTCATTCATAAGATGTCAATTCAGGTTACATTACTTAGCTTTTGCAGAAATCACTTATTAAACCAGAGGTCCCCAAGTAAATGTCAAACCAAGATGAAAATAATCTAATTCATGGCTATATTAAAGCCACTATTGAGGAAATGGGGGAGAAGTGAGATAATTTGATGTCATAGAAAGAAATTTCATATGCTTTTAAAAGAAACCATGCCCAGCTTTCCATGGTATGAAATACACTCATTTCATGTATTTCATTGTTGATGCAGTCATTTTTTTTTCCTCTCCAGAGGAAACAGGAGACATTGTGCTTCTCAGGGGTCATTTGGAAGCATTCTGAGTGGTCAGAATGAAGGAAGAGGGAGGTGCCAGTATCATCTAGGGAGAAGAATTCAGGGCATCTGCTAAAAGTCCTGCTGGACAGTGTAGCTTCCCTCTCCTAACCAAAGATCACTCTGTTCAAGATGCTAATAGGGTGTAGTTGGAGAAACCCTGGGGGCTAATGTTGATTTTTCTTGAAGTCACACAACCCGGCGTTTCAATCTGAAATACCACTAGCTGTGGAACATTGTGATGCTGTTAATGACCACACATTTCATAGCATTGAAAATGTTAAAGACTATAAAATTGGACAGCCATGTAAACCAGTCTGAGGACAGGTTAACTTCTCTACATGGTTTCTAATATTGCCACACATTAGGATGAAGAAAATATGAAATACACAAATGTTAAGCTCTCGTAATTTTATTTTATGATAGCCATAGGAAGTATAGTTCCTTTTGTTAAACAGGTGAGCATCCATGATGTAGACACCTGGGGCAGGGTTGAGGTTCAGGTGGGGTGAGTAATCCTTTTAACTAATTCTATTAGGAAATTCTGAGTTTTCCTGTAAAGATTGTTGATGAAGAACCAACTGAGGGGTGGGGGTGTGGTTCAGTGGTAGAGCACTTCTGAGCATGTGTGAGGCCCGGACTTCATCCCCAGCACCTTCCCTCCCCCCAAGGCCAACTGAGTGCATTACCTTTAAATTTAAAAAAATTCACCAAGTGCCTTTAATGCATTTAGATTTAAGTTTTGTACCAGCATTTGTAAAAATCTTGGGAGAGTTGAGCATTTCAGTATAAAATGTGATTATAAATCTGATTTTTTTCAGCTTACTGATTAAAATTTCCATAAATACCTAAAAAAAAAAGTATGGCCCATTTGATGTACAGTAGGGAACTTGCCTGGCATAATACTGAGAAGAGTAGCCACTAAAGGTTTGTAAATAACTTCAAAAGTGCATAAGAGGAGAGAATGAATTAAATAATGTGCATAACTAATATTTAAAAAGGTAGAAACAACACAATCATAAATAAAGGTCAGAAAAAGAGTCAACGTAGTAACGATAGTAGGCAAATGAGGGTCATCGAGTCAATGCCTTCCAAGGGTGACATTTAGACTAACAGCAGATCTTTGGGCAGCAACAACTGAATCCAGAGAATGTTAGAACAACACATCAAAAATAATATAATAAAAGTAATTGCCAAGGTAATTTCTAATTTTCTTTTCTCTACAGCACTTATTTTCAAGTAATACAAAACTGCATATTTACTGTGTCTTTTCAGGAGGTTTTAATGTGGTATAATGTATGTATATAAGTATGTATTTCTACTTTATTTTAAGTTGCCTGAGACCAGTACCAACAAAGATATGCACACACACAAAATCTAATTCAAAGTTTGCTATATATATATAATATATATATCATATATAGAAAGATATATATATATATAACCATATTCAAAGCTTGTTTTCAAGATAAAATATTGCACAGAAAGTTAACAATTATTCTCTTTTACTTTCTTTCTGTCTCCATTCATCCATCCACCCATCCATCCATCCATCCATTCATCATCTTCTCCCTCTCCCTTACCTGATTCATCAGTCACTGACTTTCCTTCTAATTTCAGGAATACCTCATTCAGTGTTGTCATAGAAACACCATAATCCTCAATGCCTTGGTTTGAACACTTATCAAGATCTCTGTAAAGTGCTAAAAGAGTAAAAATACATCAAAAGGATATAATTTATAATGAGACAACTAATAATATTTTCCAAAATGAGAAACTATTGATGAGGCCAAGTGTATTTTCATCACAAACTGATATAAATTTTCATTTATTTCTAAAATGAATCTATACTGCATATTAGTTTCCATAGCTTCTTAGGTATCAAAGTATAAAATAAACACAGTTTTATACTTAGAAAACTACTCAGCCTTTTAAAATATTTTACTTGATATGTTTTAAATTTTTTATTCTATTTTTATTTTTAGTTGTGTGTGTGTGTGTGTGTGTGTGTGTGCATGTGTGCTTGTGTGTGCTTGTGTGTGCACCTGCTCATGGAGGCCAGAAAAGGGAGTTGAATCCCTTGGAGTTGGAATTTCAGGCTGTAGAGAGCCACCCAGTGTGGGTGCTGGGAACCAAACTCGGGTTCTCTGGAATAGCAGCAAACATTCAACTGCTGAGCTCTCTCTCCACCCCCTTTAATTCCATTATTAATTCTGTTGCAGAGAATGTTTAAACTAAACTCTGATTAAAGAATAGTTTCCAGAGAACAGAGATTTATTCTTTCAGGTTCAGATTAATTGCTAAGAAACTATAATCAAAAATGCAAAAGAACTGATATTTTCAGAAATAAGCAATTGCCACAGATTCTTTCCTGGGTTAAAAACTTTATAAATTATAGCTGGGCATGGTGGCGCACACCTTTAATCCCAGCACTCGGGAGGCAGAGGCAGGTGGATCTCTGTGAGTTCAAACCAGCTGGGGCAACAGGGAGACCCTATCTCAAAAAAGACACATATAGCCAAAAGTGAAAAAAAAAAAAAAGGACCCTATTCCTACACGAAAAGGGG